ATCAAATTGCCTTTAAATTAAGTGGCGACAGAAGAATTTTTGTTTAACTTTTAAAAGGTAAACTTAGGTATTAATGCAATACTTAAATGCAGCAATCAATTTTGGGTTCTTCTATAGTTTATTGTTGCCTATTGCATCTACACCTCCCTACCTACTGTGATGAAGGCCAAATCAAGAACCATCCACAGGAGCTAGCTTAAATGCCACCTGATAGAATGGCTTTTAAACTAGTATATATAATATATAATGTGTGTGTGTGTACTTGTGTATGTACATAGCTTGTCTATGGCTGATCTCTATTTGAAACCATATTGGTGATTAGGGAATTATGCCATATTCTGGATGAATCACCAAAAGTTAAAGTAATGAAACACAGAAACAAATAATAAAAACCTGTTTGTAGCAACAGAATGCCAAAAGCTGAAGAGCAGTTTTGAACTCACAATAAAAATATGTAGATAAGCAGAAATTCTTTTTAATACATTCTTTAAAAATAGGCTTTTCTTAATATCTTTCATTAATGCTGCATCTTTGCTTTGTATAAAAACATATGTAATTATTTATAAAGTTCTGTCTGTAAAATTCTACATGGCATCCATTATTCTTTGATAGTGCAAGAGGAGCAACTCATTGCATCTTCTTGGTCTCATATTTCCTACTGACATGAAATAGAGCAACTACATTGAATCAATTGCTAAGTCTGCTTCTAGGAAAGTCTGTTCACTGTATTGTGCTTGATAATTTTTCTCGCCAGAATCTATCTTGCAATTTTATTAGTCTACTATTCATCTGGTCTAGTGCTTCAGCTATGTTTAATATTATTGGTTCTGATTTAATATTTCAGATTCAGTCACTTTCTCACCACTGTTATGTAGCATCCCTTTTCTATAAATATTTTCATAGTAATTCATTCTGATGAGCTTTCATCTTTGGTACCTCAACTTCATGAAGTTAAGTATAATATTGTCAACTATGTCTCATAATTTCACTGTTGAAATTGCTAAGTGTAACTGTAACTTCTATTTTGATAGTTTCTTCTCTCACACTTCTTGCCTGTGAAACTCTCTTCCTGCCTCATGCTTTCTTGCTTCAAACCTTCAATAATTTAAATGCAATGCCAATTGTTGTTAATTGTTTCCTTGAATTCTGTTCTTTCATTGTCCTTTCTTAAAAACATTTTCTAAGTTTCTTTTGCTACCAGTAACTTCTTATGCTTTAATGGCTTTTATCACCTTACTTAGAATGAAATGATTGAAAAAAAATTTCCTTCAGCTATAATATACAAATACATGGATTAACTGATAGATATCTAATCAAGGAAAGAAAGAATACAGAGAAGGAAAAAAAAGGAAGACAGATGAGAAAGTAATAAAGAAAAAGTATGAAAAAATGAAGAAAAAAGGAAAAGAAAGACAATGAGAGGAAACAGAGCAACAAATAAAAAAAGAAAGAATAAGAGTTTATAGGATATAAACTGCTATTTTTTATGACCAATAAGTGAATTGTAAACAAGTAAGAGGCGCCTATAAATAAATCTTACTAAATTCAGTAGATACGGAAAACTTTTTTACAATTCTGTACAAACACAGCTCCAAATTAAATAAGTAGTTTCTGGAACCTGATTGGATAGGACAAGTTACATGATATCCACATGGTTCAACTCCAAATGACCTGGAAATGGGTCAGGGCTCAAGTTACTGTGTACATTCCCATGCAAAACTCAGATTTGGAGCTGACCCAAAGTGATAAAAATGGCTTGTCAGCAACCAGATCTGCAACAATACAGTCAGTGAAGGACTGTTGGCAAAAGACAGTCAGTGAACCAGACCAGCCTTGATCAATAAAATAGACACACATACCACAACAATGCATATATCACCGATTGATGTAGTTTCTGTTCTTTGGTTGTCATTCTGTAGCACTAGTCCATGAGGTTTGAAAAAGTATGGTCCTTGCTAAGACCTACAGTTTTCATTCGCTTGAAGTCATTTTTAATCATTGATCTGAGAAAGCAGCTGTATACAGTTTAGACATTTCTGAATGGGTTGGACACCATGCATGGCATCCATATGAAAACCTTGATCTGACAAGGATATTTAAAGACATAACTTGAGTTCTTAGGTTAATGTTTTAGTTTTGTGCAAGACAATCTTTAATCTAGGTTTGTATAGCATGTGTAGATCTTCAGTGACTGGGGGCAAACAGTGAACATGCAAAAGTTTGTTGCTAGAATTGGATTAAGAAATATTTTTTTAAGGGAATTTTTACTTTTTACCTTTGGATTAAATTTATTATTTAAGATACTGAAGTAAGTACATAATCAGTATTAAAAATTGATATTTTTTCAAGTAGTAAAAATATGTTCATGAAGCTGAATTAAAAAGCCATACTTATCCATTCAGAGAAATATTTACCAGATATTTTTTATTTTCAATATCCCCACCACTTTATATATATTTATTAGTTAACTCCCCAAATTATCCTGTTAATTAATTTTATGTTCTTGTTAATATAAATTGGTTTTAATTATTAAAACTATGTATACTGGTAATGTCTATTATTGTATTATAGTTTTTTCACCATCTTCTGTGAAATGAATTGTACATGTAATAAAAATCAAAATGAATTTTGTAAAAATTATCAAAATTATTTTTCTCTGAAATTCACATTTTTTGTAAAATATTTTCAGACTTTATTGATATATGACTTTGTAAAATGTTGCAATTGCTTTCGGATTGTATTATGCAATTATATTTTTCGTATTCAATTGGTATAAACAAAATAACTCATTATTTTTGCAATATCATCTAAAAAGGTCTTTAATTTATGGTGAATAAAGTGATTTTTGTGCATTTAGTTAGTTTACGGTAGATGTGGTTATTTTTATTTTTTCTTTGTACATTTTCATTTATGAAAATAAGTCAATAATTGTAAGCTGCTTCCTAATATTATGTATAGTTGCTAATTAACTACTTACTGGACATTACTAACCAGTTCCTTGCTAAAAATGTCCTCAGTAATTGTTATTTAGTAGTAATTTAGATCTCCACATGTCTGCCTCCAGTTGTGGACTGCAGTCACATGCTTGCCAGGCCTGGTATAGGGATCAACTTAGTTTGGTAGCAGTTTGCGATGTTGGATAAAACTACCCATAATGCAGCCTATTCTGTGTTCATTTTTTTTTTTTTTTTTTTATCTCCTATACTATATTTGTTATAATTGATCCATACGTTGAAGTATTTAAAGTTTTTGTATTTATTTTAAATTTTTATAATGGATTCATATTCATAGTATGTGTCATCACTGCTTTCATTCAAATTCCAGATCATAGTTTCTGTTTTAGAAAGGTTCATTTTAAGTTTTATTGCTTGGAATACTTGGTAGGGGATGTTTATTTTTTGTTAAAGATAGTTCTTATCCCAACAATAAATACCTATGTCATCAGCATGAAACTTATCATCATCATACACTGATCTTGGGAGGGAAAACATACACTTTTCTATTAGAAGAATCATTTGGAATGTGGTATGGAATGTTTAAATGATTTGTGCACATCTTTTCACATTTGCACTTGTATAAGTACAGATCATAGTATAGGAAGAGATTAAATAGATTAGAGCTCTAATTTCCTCCTTGTCATACTCCTGGTGAGGTTTAAAATGATTCAGTTTTGTTATCTTCACCAGCTATGGTAACCAGTATATTTCCTCTAACAAATCTATACATTCAGTGGAGCCAGAGTTTAGAAGAGCCTACTTAATAAAGTATTCATAAGTACTTTCACCATAATGAATCCAATTGATATACCTCCGTACATGGGAGAGGGTTTTGAGGAAAAACTTTTTGTTAATACACAATATACTCCACTGCTTTGGGATGTGCTTCTAATTCCAGGCTTGCTTCACAAATCTGAGAAACATGTTTTTAAATTCAGGAAGAGGGTATGTTATTTTCAAAATCTCGGCCTCAATGTCAAGTGATGCTTTATTTTTCTTTAGCTTTTTATAGTTTTCTTCATCATTAGATTTGTTTCTGTTTACATTTTGAGACAGACTTTATAATGTTCAGATATATACTGCTATATGTTCTATTTTCTCTGGCATATTCAGATTAGTATGGTCAGAGTTGAAATGTGACTCAAAGTATTTTTTGAGAACAGGGAATTTCTTCCATTTTGGATTTAAAACAAATTTTATCTTGATGAAATACACATTGATGAAAGATAATATATTCAATTGGATTGTTGTATAAAAGAAAGGAATTTTTTTTTGTATTTATGAAGTTTTGAGAAACTGACTGTTTTTTTAAGCTATACTTAACTTTAAAACAGTACACTCTGAATCATATAGTAAGGGCTTTCTGTTGAAGATGAAGAGTTTTCATTATTTACATATTGACCTCATCTTTGTTATCACAGTGTTTCAGTTGTTGTGCCCTTTGGTCTTCATCAGGCTTGTTGATCCAGGTAACCTAGAGGAAAACTTAAACTGAACACTTTATTTAATCTATGGGAGTAGCTGGTTCTCATTCTGTTGCCCATGTCTATGAATATTTCATTTAGTTCATACTTAGTACTGCTCAGTTATTGCATGCCCCATAAGTACACACTGCTCAGCCAAAGGATTGAACACATGATTACTGTTACCAAATTCACAAGCTAAAACTTTAGTCCACTAGGCTGTTGTTCTTTGGGACATTTCTGAGTGGAAAACTTTGAGCCTTAAACGTAACTGTTGATGAATGCCACTGCTGCTACTTGTCACTCTTGACTTCACTCAACAAGGTTTCTCTTTTTACTATAGTTGCTGCTGCTGATTCTGCTGTTGAAATAGGACTCACATTTAGATTTCTTTATGAAATGTTGTGATAACAAAGATGAGGGCGATAGTCCACATTTAAAAAGGAAAAAAATGTTCTTAAATAATGTCAGAGAGTGAATAACCTCAAATAAATTAAAAAAACAAAGATCAAAATGAAAAGCAATTAAAATACCAACTCACTTCCAACCAAAAGGTTTGTCTGAACAAATTCCTCAATTGTTTGACATGCAACAGAGTCTGTGTGGTCAAGCCATATCAGATTGGTAATGGTCAGTATAGACCTCAATTTCTTTGGGTCACATGTAGCATGAGCCTTACCCCATGGGTTTTTCTTTTTGTTCACTTTACAAGGAGAATTGCAATCTGAACATCTTGCAAGAACAACACTATTATTATACCAAATAATTGGCCCTGCTTTGTTAAACACACACTCAAAGCTGAAACTTTTACCAATCTCAGCAAATGCTGTTCCATTTAATGGCCTGATCTCCAGGGTACTTGCAGAACCTGCAAGAAAACAAGAAAAAGAAATAAGAAAGCAAAAATGATTTTATACTAGTGCTTCTCAAACATTTTCTCAAAAACAATGTAAAATGAATCTGTCAAATATAGTTCAGCATAAATAAATAATTATTTTAGATCCAATAAGAGAAGCTTCTTTTGAACTAAAATTCGGGCTTCAAAAGATTCAGGCATTGGCATCTGGATAAGAGGCTAATAGTTTGAAAGGAAATTCATTTCTTAGATTTATTGACTAATCAGAATGCTTTTACTCTAAAAGAAAAAAAAGACAGATTATTTGATCCTACTAACCCCTCTATGAGAAATAATGTCCCTCAGTTAATCAGTCAAGTTCACTCTTTTCTTTGACACTGTTACACACACACACACACTCTCTCTCTCTCTCTCTATCTCTCTCAACATACAGGTCATCCAGTCAGAGAGAGTCAACTGTTCAAACTTGCAACATACCACCCAATACCCACAGACACTAACAGCAGTAATTTTCTAAGGATAACTTAGATGTGGCACAAGGCCAAATGTGTGTATCAAACCATTCAGTTGTAATTTATCTAACAATATAACCTTCATTCTCCAGTGATCGATTGTAACTTCTTTTCAACTCAGAGGTATCCATTTCATGTCACACTGTCTTCAAAAATAGACTTTATTTGAAATCAGTTTTTTTTTTCTCATTCTTTTTGTTTGAATTTAATTTGAACCTTTTGCTTTAATTCAGTTTTGATAAGATTATATTTTTGTTGGTGAAAGATAACTTATTTGGAGTTAAATGTAAATAAAAAAAGCAAGTTCTTTTTACTTAGTGTTGGTAACTGCACAGAAAATACATGACAAATGAAAAAAATGAATAAATAAAAAAAAATGAAAGCAAATGATTTGTTTTATTAATATATCTATTTTAAAATTAAGATTTAAATTATAATTAGAAGTATGATCTGAATTATAGTTACAAGTGGAAAACTTTACAGGCAAGACTGAAGCTGGTCCCCATGACGGGCCTGAACAGGGTTGTTGACTCAAATAAGCAATCATAGATTTGAACTATGTATTTATCAAATCATGCCTTATTTGAAAATAATTACAATCATAAATTCTTAGATAGCATTTAATTTACAGATATGGGAAGGATTTCAGAAAAGATTTTAAGTACAGTTAAATAATACAGACTGACTTGAGCTAAATTCACAGATACAAAGTAAGGGTACAGTTTAGCATCATATTTACATTGTAAATTGAACTCGTTGCTAAAAATTTTCAAAGTTAGGAAATTTTCAAACATTAATATGTTAAAAGGATGTGCAGGTAGCGTAACAGTTATTGGCACTGAAAGTGGAATCAAGTTCAAATTCCAGCTTAGCCAGTTAGATTCACTTTCACAGAAATACACTTGGGAAAGGTATGAATCAAATTTTTCTGTCTACTAACAATAGATTAAATATCTAAATGGATGGTAACCAGTCTAAGAGAAGAAAAATACTGAATTCCAGGACATGGAGAAGGTAATGGGAAACCAAGAAGGTTTAGTAACTCACAGATAATAAAGAAAAAGGAATCAGTGAAGAGACAGGATTGCTTGCATTTAAAAAAAAAAGAAGAAAATATGGTAAAGATGTGCTCTGTGTTTTCATTAATAACCACAGAAAATTAGTCGCACTATCTCAAGTAGTCCTTCAGTTATTTGATGAAAGATAGATAAAAAAAACAGATCTGATGAATTAGTTTTTCTAAGCTCAGTTCAAGGCATAAAGACTGATATCTTTCATGGAAGCCCAGAGCTCTATAATTTATTGAAATCATCAGGGAGTGTTTAATGTGTATTGTTAACCAATTTTTAATTTTGATGGTAATTGAAAATGTCTGAATTTAAACAAAATGTAATGCTATGTCTGACAGATTAAGTCTTGTTTTCATTTGTAATACACAACAACTTCATTGCAAAAGAAAAGAAACTGAATGAAACCTCTCTCTTTTCTTGTGGATTATAAACATGAAGAAAGCTGTAGAATGGTTTGGATGAGGTATTGTTGTGACATCATCAGTAACACAAAAAATGAGTTAGATTAACTAAAATGACTCCTGGAATGTTAATTACTATCTTCCCATATGGAGTGTGCACCTGAAGAAGGCTCTAGAAAGAACTGACTGAAACACTGTGGTAACAACATCAGCAATACAAAGAATGAATTGAATTATTAAAATGATATTTGGAATAGTCATTATAGTAGAATTGTTCTAGACAATACATATTGGTTATCAGTAAGCTTTAATATACTCTGTATTTACCTTAGCTCTCCACAAGCGAGATATGGCACAAGGCTGGTTATTTACATGGGGGATTCTGAGCCTGTATGTTCGAGCAAAAATTCCCCACAGACCCTGTATACAGGTAGTTGGGTAGCTGTTTACCTCTCCAGATGAGACTGCTCTTCGGCATTGTAGCCAGGCTGTGGACTGCCTGACCCATTTGAACTTTAATATACTCTGCATATTAGCAGAGTTCTCCTGAATACATTTTTTCAGGACAGATCCATTCATGGGGTAGATGGATCATACCACAGTCATAACTCTTTCCATATGGATTGTACACCTGAAGAAGACTGTAGGAAGGATTTTCTTCAATCATTTCACCCCAAGCAAAGAAAATAAAGCCACAAAAACACAAGAGTTTATTGAGTGTGAAAGAATATGAGAAATTTATAGAGATATTAACTACAGAGGCATGCACAGAAAGTACAAAGGGTCCTGGCATATAAAATAATTTGTAATATCCCACTATTGGTAAATGTTGGTATTGGTGAAAACTATAAATAAATGAACACTTGAAGGTCGAATTTGATGATTTAATCACTGATTTTTGCAGTTTTTTTAATGAAAATTTATTTTAGTAAACTTTGACACTCAGTCACTGTGAAGGTGTATTAAAAATCAGGAAGAAAAAGATTGTCAGTGGTTAAAAATCACTAAGTATTACAGAATATATATATAATATAAATGTAATCTTAATGACTTACTATAGAAATGCATTGGAAATCAGTAAGAAAATGTTTGTGGTCAAGAATTAATGAAAGCATTTCTGTTATTAATGGCATATTTTATGTATAATGTAAAGGCACTGTTAATGATTTTTCTACATTGGAAATAATAAGAGAAATGGATTATAAGTGGTCGGGGATTATGCTAAGCATTACTGATAAATATAGTTATCTTATGTACAATGTAAATTCATTGTTAATAACATTTGCTAGAGTAAAACAACTTTGATTTTACTATAAAAATGCATTGGAATAACAAGAAGCATATGATGGATATTGCAAATGTAATATAAAAAATATTTAGTGATCAGGTATTAATGCAATTGTTACTGACAAAATAGGGTTACTATATGATTAATGTTAATGCATTGTTAATTATTTTACTCTAGAAAAATTGTCAGTGGTCAGGAATTAATGCAATTGTTACTGACAAAATAGGGCTATAGACACATTGTTAATTAGTTTTCTACAGAAATACACTGAAGCTCAGAAAAAATGGTTATCTGTGGGTAGAAATTATTACAAACCTGATTAGCAGATCAGAGATAGTATATGTGTAATTTAGGTATTAGAGTTTGTGTTTATTTTATGTTTTCCTCTAAGTGATGTGGCTTTTATAAATTTAATGTTGATACAGATTTGATCCTAATATGGTACTGACATTAAAAACAGGTTAAATCTGGTAACGTATCACCATATATAATAAAATATATAACAATATATCACAATGGTTTTCAAGTGAAGTTGTTCAGACTACTGACATCATCGCTTTTGTTGTTATCACATTTCAATCAGTGTGTTCTATGGCCTACCTCAGGTGTAAAGAAAGAAATGGGGAGCTTTTTTTTTATTACACATAAATTGATGGTAAACAAAAAATGGTGACTCATATACTGACTATTCTCAGTAATGCAAGCCACATGGATGGTACCAATTTCAAGAACCCATGTCACACAGGCAGTTCTAATTTTGACATCATGATTCTCTCCAACTTTCTCTTTGTTGAGCAAAGAAAACAACTGAGCTGAAGTCCTCATTGACCTGACTAACATATCTATCTTAGAAGTTGGTATATTCTGCTTTCTTTAATTTTCTCATTCTCCAGCAATGTTTCATATATATTATTTGAATCTTGTGGAAGGTTGAAAGTGTCAAAATTTTGGTCTTGTAAAAATATTCAATTTTTCCACAAAGGAAGGTAAAGAAGAAAACAAATAAAATGTAAATCCCAAATATTAATATTTCAGAAATTGATGAGGAGATTTACAAAAATTGTTCTTTCTGTTGTTAGTCCAGTTTCTTATGAGGAAAGTTTTTGTACAACAGGAAATAGATTGGACACAGAAAGATTTCTTCATGACCCCTCTTATTCCAACTGCTACTAGAATACATGCAGACTATCATGTCAACTGACTACTTGATACAGTGTCCTTTTATTTATACCTGGCACATGGATATAGTAGTAAACACTAAATATGCACAAATATTTAACAGAAAAATGCTAGGATCCATTTTGAAGTGTATTACTTGAAGAGGATAAAATTTCTAATAACATAATAACTATACATACTTAAAAGCTGAAACTTTGCAGATTAATAATTTGACATGTGTTTTAAATGCTATCTTTCTCTATAAATTATAGGTTGATCAAATTTTAAGTTGATATTCACTCAGTAGGGATACTGTACCTTACTAATAATTTTCAATAATAGGTTTTATTTTGTTTGAAATTGAATAATTAATCGAATATGTTCTAATAATGCATCTACTATAATTTGAATCTTTTTAATTTGTTCATTTTACCAAACCTTAATTTATAAAGATTTTAAAAGTTTACAAACATTACAACCTCATCCCAGAGAGGTTAATTGGAATTCTTAGCTCATCTGATCTGTAAAAAAAAATAACAAACTTTCTCATGGGTTGTTCACCTGAAGAATGTTATAGAATAGACCAGCCAAAAAATGATTACAAAAAAAAAACAACACAAAGAATAAGTTCAGTAATATGAAAAAACTCTTGAAATGATAATACTCTGCTAAAAATTACAATGTCAGCATTTGTTTTTTTGATGATAAAATTTTATTAGTTGGGTTGAAGTGATCATTTTTTAAAATTCTTTTCATAGAAACCTTTCATTAATATTTTATACACAGAAAATTAGATGTTACATTGGAAATAAAATCAAATAACAGTTATTAACTGTAGATATATTATTAATTTTAGATGAAGTTCAAGGAAAGTACATTTCGGATTATCTCTTTTTACTTACCATGTGAAAGGGAAGCAACAGTTAACAATGAGGTCAACAATTTCAGAGAAAGTTTCATTTTCTGTTTACAAAAATAAAATAATGAAATGACAAAAATCCACAGACAAAATGACAATGATAACAAACAAAACAAAAACATAATTTGATTTAAGAAAAAGAGTAAGCCTATAAACAGAAAAAGTCATATAACAAAATCCACAAAAGCTCATAATCAGGGGTAAATTTAGATATGTATATCTTTAAGATATGTAATTTAGATATGTATATCTTTAAGTTTGGCTTATGTCAAAAGAAACAAAAAAAATTATATTTGGTTAGAATTCCCAAACTTTATGGCTATATAATGGAGTCGTTACATTAGAGTGGCAGTTTTACTCCTTATGGAGAGGCACATTACTCTTGATGGACAGAATATTATATATAATCATATACATAGTGTTCTTGGATTTTTAGATATTTCAATGTGAGTTATGCACAAACACAAATATCTGACTCATTGGTGAAGAAATAGATTGAATATGTCATATTTAGAGCCACTCACAGATTGGAAAAACTTGATTTTTTCTGAAAAGATGTATCTGGCTAGGAAATTCACATTACCTCAGTCCTGCAAAGAAACTGAATATCATCAGGAATACAAAAGTTTTAAACATCTTCATAGACAATCCCAAAGAGCAGCAGCAAAGTTTGAGAAGAATTGAAAGACGAGAAGTAAGTGTTCAGAAACCTTCTTTAATCTTTTAAGTTGGATTTCAAGATGGCTTCTGGTGGAAAATCATTAAAAAAATATTGATAATATATTAATTTGCATGCAAAATTACTCAGTTTTATCATAATATGCCATTTAGGTTATTTGGCTCATGTTTAAATATAGTTCCAAATGTGCAAAATACTACCATAATAGTACAGAAAACAGATTTGGCACACTGAGTTTAAATTTTAGCAAGGGCAGCTCACATTCACTTAGTACAGATGTCATTATAGCTAACAGAAGAAACTGGATGAGTGAACATTTGTGTCAATTGTGAACTTGTAAGTACAATATTTTGCAGCTTATAAGGTGCTTCAATGCATTAAATATCCCTGTCCAAATTTTGAAGGAAGAAATCAGAAAAAATGTTTTTTCCTTGTACTTCATAGCCTCTCCAGATTTACCCACTGAATAGCAATTTCAGAATGAAAATCTGAAGAATCAGGAAAAATTTATCACAGACCGAGAAGTAGTACCATATTTATGGTAACGATTTAAAATGTAATAGTTAAAAGAGAAGTTAGATTGTATAATACCATTGAAACCATAACTTATTGCAGCCTGAAATCCTTACTAATCATGACAAAGTCATCATAGACCAGGATGGATCAATAATTTTAAATTAGATACATGTAAATTTGGATACAGAAATAAGGTTAAGTTTGATTTATGTGTAGGTTAAAATAAGATAAATTAATAAGATAGTGCTTACTGTACTGCTGAATCCTTATACCGACATTATAGCCTGAAATCTACATTACCAGTAATCTTCACAAGCACTAAGTTTTACAGTGTGAAATTTACCAAAAGTAATGTTCTCACAAAATTAGATTTGATTACAGCCATGGACACCACTCAACACATGATGAAAACATTGTTCTGGCTATGAGAGGCATGTTTCTATGGCCTCATTAACGTAGTATACAGTAGTGTTATTCTTAAAGTATCTACCATAAATGATGCTGTCTTGTGACCAGTAACTTAAAAAATAAGGAAGGAAGGTGTTACTTAAGCAGATGTTACTGTAGCAGGAATTTTGTTTTCGGTCAATATCCCAGTATTATAACTGCATAGTTTCTCCTAAAACATTAATTTAATTTTGAGACACTAGACTTGTTTCACTTTCAAGGATTCAGAATCATATATAACTGGGGAGCTGATGCTCATCCCACACCCCAAACTTATAACTCCTGTCACCAACCTTCAGTTTTTAGTATGCAGGGTGGTTTTTGGAGATATTTTATAGGAAAAAAGTGCATCTTATAAGCATCAAAATACATTATCTTACCTGCCAAAGAGTTATCAAATTTGTAAAAAAAGCTGTTACACCTATTGTCAACCTTGAGAAGTATCAGTCAATCAAATGTATACACATGTTGATGTAATAAATCTTATAATGGTTGAAAGCAAAGAGACTGGATGAGTGAACTTTTGGTAAACCACTAACCTGTAATTATTGTATCCACTAGATAGTTGCAGCATTTTTAAAAAGTTGTTACATCTATTGTCAGCCAATGAATCATAAATGTTTACATAGTGGTAAAATAAATGTGATGATGGCTGATAGAGAAGAGGCTAGAAGAATGAACTTTTGGGTAAACCACTCACCCATAATTATCTTACCAGCTAGAGAGTTATAACACTAAAAATGAAAAAAAGAAGCTATTCTACAATTCATCAACCTTGACAGGTGCCAGTTTCTCATATGTGTGTACAGAGTAGTGAAATAGTTATCAGTATATATAAAAAAGGGAAACCAGTAAATAGAGTTTTAATTTTGATAGAAGCTGCTTTGTGTTCACTTAGACAACACTGCTCTTGAGGAAGTTATGAATATACTCCCCACTATGCTCTGCCGCTGTCAACAGATATCTTGACAAAAAAAAAACCTCTCTCACTGTGAGCAGAATATAATGCTTGACAGAGTATGCACTCTCCCATAACAACGAAACGCTGTTACACCCATTGCCAACCTTGAGATAGGCCAATCATAAGATGGCTCAGGCAGTGCCAGATTCGAAAACAGTCTTTGGGAAATTATTGAGAACCTATTAAGCAAGAAATTAACAGAGAAAATAATTATCTAACAATTGAATTTGGTAAGACTGTAAGCAGATATGTGGGTAGTGTAATATTTGTTAGGGTGGAAAGTGGAATAGGCATTGTGTTAATACATTCAGTAATGGTCTGTTGTGTTCACACTTGCTGTAATGCTTTTGGGAAAGGCATGAATTTGTGGTTCCTCTCCTCAAGCTATGGGTTAAATAGTGGAATAGTTCGGACTTTCTCGTCTAGAAAAAGAAAACTCTAAATTTCAAACAGTGGAAAAGTTAACAGGAAACCACTTCATAATCTTTCCCAAGAAAGCGTGGAAATTCACAGATAATAATGAAAAGGAATCTGTGGAGAGCCATGATTACCTTACACCCTGAAGGGATATAGCATAAAAAATAATGCTATATCTATGAGAAGGTATATTTTTGTTGATAGTCTTTAATCATTATGTATGATCTATTAGCCTTTACATGTCTGTTATTATTATTTGTCAGTAAGCTACATTGTTCTTTCTGTTCCTTGTTGTCATATCCCATGTCCTTCCTAGTGATTTGAAATGTCTTTTTTCTTGGTCAACAATCCATTTGGGGCTATTCAGGTCTTTTTATGAAAAGACTCTTTCCTTTGTTTTGTCAGACTCACATACCAGTAGATCAAAATTTTTTTTAGCTGCTGAGTTTAAGAACTGATCTCACGATTCCAAAACTCAGCATAAAGTAACAGTTTTGGGCTCCAAGACAATGTCCAAGTGTCAGAAGACTGCAATAGCTGAAATATGGTCAAAATGAAAAACATAAAACTGCTGATTCAAATAATTCTCATGATAACAGTACCTCATCTAACAATTTCAAAGAATTTTTATAAATATCTAAAAACTTTCAAAAACAATTTTAAATTAGTGTTACAATTCATGAGTATGACAAAGAAAAGGGCTGATGACAATTGTGCCTTGCCCAAAAATGATTTTGACCATTTCTGGTAAAGATGTTTCATTGCTTTAATTATGTCAACATTTGTATTAAGAAACAAAGTCATTGTTCTAACTGACATTTAAATGTTTGTTCATGTCATCCACAGAACACTATCATGTAATATTTGCAATGCATTTTATAGTAAATCATCTAGAGTTTATTTCTATGGCCAATTATCTGCAGTACATTTTCATAATGAATCAACTACAGTGTATTTTCATAGTAAACTATTTTCAATATATTTTCATAGTAATAGTTCACTTATATTTTTAGTCTCTACTTTTCTAAAGAGAAGTGTGAGTTGGGAATATTTACACTAACCTCATAAATTGTTTGCAATGTCTTTCTGCAATAAATCATTTGCAATGTATCTTCATAATAAATTATTTTTTATAATAAATCATTTCATCATCATGATCATCTTCTTAAATGAAATCTTTGGCCTGCAGAAGACAGAAAATTTATTTAAAATTTATGTTTATTTTAGAAAAAATAGTCTTTTTGATGCTGAGAAGAGAAATAATGTATTTAATGCTGTAATTAGTTATGAGGTAATATTTACAAGGTTTTCCCCATGAGATCAGAGGCATATGTTGAGGGATGACAGAGGAGGTTGTACCTTTCCACTAATAACCCATATTGTTTTTATCAAGTGATAGTTAAGCAAAATGGTCTGATATGAAAGTGCATCTGAAGCAATTTTAAGATGGTAGTCAATCAATGTTTTGTCCTCATTATTAATTGACTTTTTAAATGATTTGTTATTTTTTTGTATCTCTGAAGTTATATTCATCAATTTTTTTCATAGACTTAGTATTACTGAGTAAAAGTCATTTTTCATTGAAGGTATCTGTATCCATAAAACCAAAAAGTAGTCTTGATAAAATTAGGCACATAATAAACTCATGACTATAATTTGAAACAAATTCATCTAATCTTAATATAAAATTTGTCATAACCACTTCAAAAAACCATAAGAGATTTAATCAATGAAAAAACAAAATAATAACAACATTTTAAACCTAAAGCAGAAATCTGCAAAATAGATTGCAAAAAATATCTAATGAAATACATTGGTGAGTCATGTAGAAATCTAAATAAAAGATTATATGTACTCAAAGGGGATCTTTAACAAAACAATACACTATATGCTTTAGTCATTCATTGTAATATTTCTGACAGTAAAGTCAAAGAACACATTTCTCATGAAAAAAGGTAGAAATGTATTGAAAGTGCACTAAATTCAGATGACTTTATAGTAAATTTACATGCAAAGTCATAGAACAATATACCTCCTTTCCTCAAAATATTGCAACTTATGCAGTGTGGAATAATAGAAAACAATAATGATAAAAATAAAAACGTTAGAAAGCCTTTATTTTTTTTAAAAAGTTCCTTCCTGGAAAGAAATGCATCACCAATAAGTTTTTTAAGATTGTCAGTCATTTGCCCACTTTTATTCTGATATTCTCTCTCTCTCTCTCTCTCTCTCTCTCTATATATATATATATATATATATATATATATATACATACAGTACAAGCAAAAAAATGGATGTACCCATAGAAATGAAGAAAATATAAAGCTTATTACATTTATTAACATGCCTAATTATTTTTCTGACTTCGAGAAAGGCCAAGTTGCCACTTTTCATGATCTTGGGCTGTTGAATAGAGTGATATCTGATAAGATTAATTGCATTGTTTTTTATTTTGTTGACTGCACACTATAGTAGGTACAGTTGGGTACCATCTGTAACAAAAAGAGCACCATGACACAATTCACTCTGTCAGAGATTTGGAAATGGCATGTTGTACTGCTTGGCATTTGCACCAGAACCAGAAGCTCCAATTTCAGAGTGTTTAGGTGTCAATCTGAGGACAGTGCAGAGGATTCAGAAAGAGTTGGATGAGTCTAATGGTGATTATCAAGGTGTTTGGCATGATCACTAGTGATAGTGACATTATGCCTCCATTTTTCTTTCCACATAGCCTCAAGTTCAACACTCATGCCTGCATCAAGTGCCTTGAGGTGGTATTGCTGCCTTGGGTCAAAAGAGTGGCTTCTGGAAGACCCTGTGTCTAGTAACAGGACTCTGCACCATGCCACACAGGAGAACTCAGTCATGATTGCCGGACATTTTCTGTGACCATATTACCCTTTATTAAATCTGGCCACCTAACTCCCCAGACTGCAACTCTCTTGATTATTATATGTGGGGCAATTGAGTGAGAGA